GGAGCCATCCCAAACCCGCCTGGACGCCGTCCTGTGCCACTGCTGGAGGTGCCCCTGCTCTGGCAGGGGGTGGCACTGGGGGAGCTCCAGAGGGCCCTTCCAACCCCTGTCATTCTGTGATTCTTTAACTATCCTCATAGGGATTTTTTTTTTTTTTCCCTTATATCCGCTCAGAACCTCCCCTCCTTCAGCTGATGGCCATTACCACCCATTCTCCACATCACGTACTTCAGTGGTTAATTAAAGCTGGAGCCAGGCTCCAGCTGAGAGATTTCTCAGTAACATCCACTTAACCTAAAGTGGAGGTTCCTCCTAAAGTGTTTCATCTCCTGAATTTTTGGGAGCTTTGCTGGATGGTCAAACCATGTGTTTAAATTCATTTCCGACCATGAAAGACCTTAATTATTTATCACAGAATGGTCAGGGTTGGAAGGGACCTCTGAAGATGTGTGTAAACACTTCCCAGGATTTGCCAGATACAGTTAAGAGGAGGTGATGCTCAGGATCCCCACTTTGGACAGAGTTAGTGTACAGTGTGGCGCAAGCGCCGGGCTCTGCCAGTTGAAGTTACCAAGGCTGCTGAAGCTGAGCTGATGCTCAGGCGGTGGCACTGCCAGGTAAGCTCAGCTGAGCATCTCGGCACCACTCTGAACCCCGAGACTGAGATTCTCAAAGCAATGATCCATGTGGGCTTCATTCCTACGTGTGCCCAAAGCAGTGGAGTTACCAAACGTGCAGCCATGGCTGTCATCTCAACGTAGCTGCTGGGGGAAGTCGTGACACGGGTGGAGATTTTCTTCAGGAAAAAAAAGAGCGTGTGGGTGGTGAGAGCACTGAGTGGACATCCCCAGCCAGCGGGAGCTCACACCACCTGGCCCATCTCCCACCCGGGCGGTGCTTCCAAGCTGGGGCGATGTTCTGCATCGCTTCTGTTGGCTTAGGATCACGACAGCCACAAATACAGGTTTCTGAGAGTTAGAGAGAAAAAAAAATCCCGACTGTTCTCGATGAAGATGGCATTAACTGTTTCCAGGACAACGTACACAATTTGCACTGATGAATCCCTGGATGAAGTGTCCTGTGGACAAGTGACCCAGAACCCATCATCCACGGCCACACTCAAAAGCTGTGCTTTCCTCACTCTCTTGGCCTTGTGTTCCTTTGCAGAGGGTGAAGGAGTGGAGCAGAGGGTGTAAAGCCTGTTCCTGACCCGCGTTTGCCATTCCTCCTGCTCGGGGTGCTCTCCTGGGGCTGTTTGAGCCCTCTCATGTTGAGAAAGTCCTTGATGGCATCCAGATCTCTCCCTCTAGGCAGGGGCTCTAGCTGTCCACTGAGGGCACCACCAGTACTCACGTGGCAGAGGTACCTGTGTGATTGCCAGTTTCCAAAATATACCACAAGCAGTCAGCTTTACAGCTTTGAAGCCCTAAATTAATCTGGGAGAAGCAGAATTTCCCGGTTCACCGTTTTTTATTTGCCGGGCTGGGTGAGTTCTCTCATTGCCTCTGTTAGTGGGGTGCAGTTAAATCCACGGCTTCACCTACAGAGCTCAAAATCATATTACTTCAGAAAGTCCTGAAAAGTGGGACCACTGAAGGTGGGGGGATAGTTTCATTGAAGGGGTAAGAAGAGAGCTCAGGATCTGCCGAAACGGGCCCAGCGCGTGTCACCTGCTGGTTTGCCAGCTGCCCCGTCCCACCTGATCAGCTCCTGGTTGTAACCTGTGTGTTGCTTTGAGATGCTTTGCAGTGAACGCTCCTACAAAAATACAAGACTCTTATTTTTCTTTAAAAGAAAATGTACTGTAAGTTTTTCTTCTAAATCCTTGTGTCCATCTTTGTTATGAATCCTTGTAAATAGGAGAAGCGAGCCCTGGAGCGGAAACTCTCTGAAATGGAAGAGGAGATGAAGGTAGGAAATTATCTGTTGACTCTGTCTCTTCTGGTTTTTATGTTTTGTATTAATGTCTTTTGGGATTGCCACCCAGGAGTAGGATATTAAAGGTGTACACGGGAGGGGACTCGTGTTACCTCTGAGCATCTTCCTTTATGCAGTCAGAACTTACTTTAATGGCCACATTCTCCAAACATGACATACTAATAAAACTGTCCTATTATCATTCATCTGATTGCACCATATGTTTAATTTGTTATGCTGTTTGATCCGAGAACTGTGAAAGCTGTTCTCCTTAAATGCTTTCCAAAACTAACCTTTTGTGGCATCGATGAGTTTCAGTGTGCTGATCCTCTGTGCTCTGAATAGTCTGCAGCCCGAGTTAAGCCGTTGTGGTTCTCTCCGGATGGGTAAGAAGACAAAGCTGGCTTTTGAGATCACGCACACTAGCCCAGGAAAAAAAAAAAAACACAAGAGCGATTGTATTTCTGTGCTCCCTTCCTAAAGCATGTTACTGGAAGGCTGTGTCAGTCAGTCGGCCTGGAATAGATTTCAGCAAAGAGGAATTCGCTTCCCAATGAGGTGTGCAGCATGGCTTACTGTCACGAGACATCCGCCACCGACCGCTCCTTCGCGTTCTCTCTCTTGTGGCATTGCTTCAAAGGATGGTTCTCCTCCTGCCGCGGCTTGGATGCCCTGCGAGCACGGGGCTGGCGGGGAGCACAGCAGAGCGGGAAGCAGCGTGGTTTGCCGCCTGAGTACACCTAAAACTTCGCATTGATCTTTGCAGCGTTACATCATTTTACACTGTATTTTAATGCTCGTGTTCACAGAATGCCCCTTTGCTCTGTGCCCTGCGCTTTCATTCCCTTTGAGCATGACCCAGGTGGGACCAAGCTACTTTAAGAAGGAAGGACCCCATCTGGGAGCCGGGAGCTCTCCCGGCACGGTGCGCTGATGGAAACGATTTTCTGCCACCCCGGAAGAAGGTTCCAACTTTATGTTTCTATTTGAAGCTTCATATATTTACTGAGCGTTCATCTTGGAAAGGACCCATTGGCTTCTGCTGCATCTTCTATTGCAATAAGTAGCAGAACGATTTGGTGAAGTCATGCTGTGAAGGCTCTCTTGTTCTCACGCAGAGGAGAAAGTAAGTGTGGATGTGCGAGCCAGAAGGGAAGCAGGAAGGACTGAATATACCAAAATTCCAAACTCTTTGTTCGCAGAACAGGTAGCAATCTTTAACTCCGGAGATGCCTTCCTGTAATGACAGAAATAAGGCCTTCAAGAGAAAATGCAGACAGGAGCAGTTTGTGGTGTTTCTTCAGCTGTGCAGATCACTGCAAACCAGCTCACTCCACAGACCGAAAAGACAAATTGGTGTCCTCTAGTGGCCTGTCAGTTTTGAAGCATTTATACTGGTTCGGAAAGCAATTAATGAAAGAAGGTGCCTGTAGGAACGGTTGGACGCAGCCAGAGTACCTCTGGTTTGGGTAGTCCAGAGCTGCAGACAGATGGAAGCCAAGAGGAGCTCCAAAAGGAGAAGCACCACTGGAAGTTTGACATGTTGTTATATTGCCCCGAGAGACATGCTGGAGACGTGAGCTCAAGGAGCCTGTGCTCTAACTGAAAATGAGCTGTCAGGTCCTCAAGGACCTTACTCTGCTCTCTGCTGTGTTCTTGCTGCATTGAACAAGCAAAGTGGCCTTTTTTTAGTAGAATGAGTAGCTGAGTGCACTGTGACATGTCCTTTTTGACAGCCACTCAATATAAAGGAGTATAAAATCTCCGAAGATGGAAACATTGAAGTGGACAGGCGCTTTCCACGTCCACTTTCATCGTGCCTTAAAGCGGGAGAGTCGGCCCGGCTGTGTTTGCCTGGAATGAGATAACCTCCGCAGAGCACCGGAGTTAATCCCTAGCGGGGAAGTCGAGCCCAGAAAACACATCTGTTAATTCTGGTTAGAGTTTCGTTCCTGCTTCTTGAACTAGTTGAATAGCTGTTGAGCAGAATCAGAAGGAATAAGCGACGTAAGGAGATCCACCAGTTTCCTTTAATGCGGAGAGCAGCGAGGGGAACAACCGAACGTGCCAGGTTATTGGGTCTCGGGTGGTATTGCTGGTTTGGGGATTCTTCCCACTGCTCTTTGAACTGAACTGGTCCAGCATGGCTCACATCCAGCTTTTCGATCCCGGGGGGGCAGGGTGGTCTGTGTCCAGTTCTGTGCATCAGACACCCTGGCCAGGGCTTTCCTCGTCTTGCAGCTGACTTCTCAGGAAGAGGAGGCACAGCAGTGGTCGCAGGACGGTCCTGGGTTTCTGCGACACAAACACTTTGTACTTCGAGCTATGCTTGAGGTAACGAGCTTTGTTCTTTTCATGAGTTTAACTCCTGCTAACGAAGCGATCAAGAAATGGAGAGGCCAAACGTGGTAATCTCAAGAACTCCTTAGTGCCAGAGCTGCTCCTGCAGATCTGCTCTTGCGACGGTGACAGAGCGGTGCAGCATTTTCCTGAGTGTCTGCAGAATTCGACTGGAGATACGGCAACTTGGCTGAGGAAGGAGAAAGAAAATTAGCATTGGCACTGAACTGAATTCAATGCCAAGTGCCTGAGGTCCCAACTTAACACAGCAATTTTTCTTGAAGGTCACAGAAGCTTCTTTATTTTGTAGCAGCACTGCACCTCCTGGCTTTGTACGTTGTGCATGCTTTGGGCATTTTTATTTCCCCTAGTGTTGCAGGCACAAAATCCTTTAATTGAAGGCAGGTACAGCTGAACCGAGAAACCTGCTTTCCGTAAGCCAAGTATCAAGCAGAGTGATAAGCAATCACAGCGGTATCATCCAGATTCTGGTCTTCACCATTGGCTTCAGTCCCAGCTTCCCGGCCTTTGCTGGTTTCTCGGATAAACAGAAGGCTGTCCTACCTGCAGCACACGCACATTTTTACCCCAGTGATCCTTTTTATCGGTCGTGGCAGCCTGCTGAGGCTGAGCTGTGCCTTATTGTGCCATGCTGAGGTTTCGTGCTATATCGGTATGGAAAAATAAAGGTGGTCTCTAAAATGATCACAATCTTTTCCATCTCGCATAGCACGGCACCCCGTTTTCCATATGTTTGACATTTGCTGCCGGCCAGATGCTCAGCTGTGTTCGCTGTGATAAAACAGAAGACGTTTATTATCTATAGTGCCACCGAAAGAAATGACTCTTCCAGTATGAACCATCCACTGGTTGTCTCAGGACAGGCATGTGTTGTACGTCTCTGTCCTCACCGAGCGCAGGGGGAGCCAGCACAGCGCGGGCACGTTGGGTGATGGATAGATGGGTGAGATTTGGTGAGAGGGCATCTCACTGCCGAGATGTCCCTGAAGCTCTTCTGCGGTTTGTTGGCCGTGGCTCTGCCTCAGGACCTGTTGACTTACCAGAATTGCGTTGGTGTAGTCCAAGTAGCAGGAGCTGCTTTGTCAGTTTGATGCCCCTGGGGGGCTCAAACCCCGTATTTGCTGCCTCCCTGCACTCGCCTGCCTGGCTTCTGTTGGTTTTGCAGGGCTTTTGGATGAGGTATCTTGATTCCCTAACAGGCAGCAGAGGTAGTGCCTTTGGGCAGCCAGAATCAAGCTGATGGATGGGGGCTACATGAAATACTTCTCTTTTATACAGGAACGAGCCCTTGGACAGAATGTCCTGGGACGCAGCAGGTGCAAGGAACCTGCTGCAGCCAGCTCCATGGCATGCAAGTTGGGTGGAAGTTCGTGCAAGTTCTTTGCATCACAGTGGATCTGCCCACGCAGCTTCTGGTTAGGGACAGTGACCTCCCTTTGAGCGCTTTCTGATGATTAAATGGCAGAAAGGAACCCCCTTCCCAGGAGACCCTTCCCTTCATCTCCTCCCTGCCGTCTCCAGCTCACGAGTAGGAGGACACAGGGAGGAGCGCGTTGGTTTGTGGGCAGGACAGAAGCTGCTTTAGTTCTGGGCTGGGAATTTTTTACTTCTGCTTAAAACTACTCTTCTCATGCAGCTGTTTCCCTTCCTGCCCTCCCCCTGCCCGCTGCCTGTGCTCCCTCCACCGTGGAGGAGGGTTTCTCCTTCTCTTGGCCCCGCTGCCCGAGGAGCCGTCGGGAGGCAGGAGGGACGGGACGCTGCTCGGAAGGCAGCGCTGCAGCCCCCGGCACGGCCTGGCCCCCCCGCTCGGTGTAAATGCCCACCGTATGGTTTTGCTTTAGCCTCACCGGAAAAAATGTCGTCCTTCTACAAGAGATGGTGACGTCTGCATGGCCTTTTCCATTTTCCCGTTTTGCCTTCCTCGTTGCTTTTATGTTCTGTATCTCCCCGTTGCTGCTATACCTGTGCTAGCCCCAGCTTTGGGGCTCGGTTTCTACCCCGTCCTTCACCCACTTGTTTCTTTTCTACCCAAGAATGCGGTGTTTTCCTGTGCCTCCTGTGGGAGATGCTGTCGCTCAAACTCCTCCAGTTAAAATGAGCACTTTAAGGTTCTGACTTTTCACCTCTGGAGATCAGAGATAAATTGAGCCCCGTGACAGAGAAGAGGTGAATCTGGGCAGGGATGAAAAACCCACACACGTCCCAGACCTTTTGGCAGGACTGAAGCCTGAGCAGACCCAAAAGCCATCATTCAGGTGCCGCAGGGATGAGGGATGTGAGCAGACGCGGTACGTGTCCCGGTGGTCTGCTGTAGGACAGTGACACTTTCAGGGGCTTCAGTCTGTGCCTTTAAAATCTCCCATGAAGCTCTGGTCCCTGTTTGCTACACAAGACCACTTCAGCTGTTAGAGATACATGAAGAAAAGGAGTTTTAGAGAAATTCTCAGTTGCCAGCAGTGTTTTCAATGCCTGCGTAGGCGGTAAGTCAATGTGATAGTTGCTAAGTCCAGGGGCTGTGGGCTGCTGGAGCTCACTCTCTGGGTAAACTGGAATATAACCTGCAAGAGGCTGTCCTGCTTTGTGGTGGGAAATCCCTTTATTTAACTTTTTTAGAGGCTTTGGGGGGCCCTGAAGAAAGGGATGGTTCCCAAAACATCCTCAGTGTGTTTAAGGCTTTCTCCGTATGCATCTGAGCTGCTGCCCTTCCAGCACTCACTGCTACTAATTTTTCTTTTATTCTCTTCTTTTTCTTTTCCTGCTTGTGGACTAAATTCACGTTTCTGTGCCCTTTTGTCTTCGTGGTGTGTTTTCTCTGTATTTTTCTGTCCACTCCTCTCACTCTCTGCAGAATCTCCACCAGCTCAAACAGATTCACACTCTGAGGCAGATGAATGAGCAACTGCTGGCTGAAAACAGGGCTCTGACCCGGGTCGTAGCCAGACTTTCTCTGCCTGCCAAGCCCTCCGAATCAGAGGAGCTGTAGCTGCTTTCCCTCCGGCTCATCTCGCCTCCCTCTTCCACTCTTCCAGGCAGGTCTCCGCTCCCCTGGCCGGGCTGTTCCCCCTCGCCTCGGTGCTCTCGAGGGTGGCGATGAAGCTTGTGGCTCAAAAGCAGCATGTGGCAGAGGATCCTCGGAAAGCCAAAAGCATGGTGCTACTGCCCGGCTGGAGGCAGGGTTTCGCTGGAGACCCTCTTCAGTCCTGCTGACTTCTGCTCTGCTTGGCAGACGGTGCTGACCTCGCCGTTCTACTAACCGACCGCAGCGGGGGGTTGCCTTGTCCTTGGGGTCCATGTCTCCCGTCATCCAGGAGAGAACCAGGAGGACGAGGTCCCTGCCTCGGTGTGAGGGCGTAGAGTTGGGTGGATGGCGCTGAGATGGCTACCGAGGAGTGATGGATCAGCTGCTTCCCTGTGGCTTAACCCGGGCAAGTGGCTTTGGCGTGGCTTGGCAGCACCGAGGGGTTGGCCAGCAGCCCCTTCCCCATTACCGTACCTCAAAATAGGTGGTTTATGCCACGTGTATGCTCATAATATAATTCTTTTTCAGTTGGGCTTAGTTCGGGTGAGAAGCTGGCACCCAGCAAACGCGATTAGCCCAAGTCAGAATGAACAGCGTAATAAATTTCTAGGGGTGTTACAAAAAGTGCACATTTTAGGGAGGTGATTTTTAGAAAACCTACAACTGGGCGGTCCTCAGCACATTCTCTTGGCCACTTGGGCAAAGAGAACAAGCTTCTTCCCTCGTTTTAAAGAGAGTCTGGGTTCAGTTTTTGAGTCTGAGTTCACGCGCTGCAGCATCCCCTCTGCCTCCTGCGTCTGGCTACCAGGGGAAGCGACGGGACGCCGAGCAGATGCGCTTTCTTTTTTCATCTTCTGTTTTAAATTCAGTGCAGAGCAATTAGTGCTTGAAACCCAAGGACAAGCCTTCCCTAAGCTTTGCCCTCACACATCACCCAGTGAAATTACATCATTTCTTGCTACTTCATTGGTTCGGTGCTGAAATAAAGCTGTAAATGCTTCTTTCTCGGGGCCCCACCTGTCTTTTGCAGGTTAGTAGGGATATTCAGGTCCCTTTAGACACACACATTTTTTCAAAAAAAGGAAGAAGCAGCGTGCTCTCATTGGGCTGGAAGTGGCACTAAGGTATAAAAAAATCTATTCTTAGCACACAAATTATATCAAGGATGATTAACCGTAGAAACAATCTAACCAGGGGAATTGTGGTTTCCCCTTTCTGGGAGTCTCAGTTCAAGACCGCGCGTGTGTCACAGGGGCTGAGAGAGGGGGTGGCTCACGTTGTGTGGCCTGAATTGTGCAGACGGTCAGATTAAATGATATCACCATCTTTCTGGTTTAAATCTGCGAAAGCATTTTCGAACCTGTCACTGACTCATGCCTTCTCACAAGTCATTCTCCTGCCCAACATGCTTTGAGACCTGAGAGGGAAAATTGAGCAAAACTATTTCCAGGCTCGGAGAAATAATGTTTCACAAACTGTGAGTCGCTGGTCCCTCTTCTTCTCCTCGGAAATACTCACATTATGGCTTTCCCCCTGCTAACAGCCCTCTGCTCTGGCGTGCCTCGTCTCGTGCAGGCTGGCGGAGACGGGGGTACGCTGATGCCTCCCGCTTGCTTGTAGGTTTGCGATTCACTGCTGGTGGCCGGGCTGGAGAGGAGCTGTGTGTCTGCAAGCTCCACTGATTTTTTTTCGACTCTTTTAGTAGGTCTAACGCAGGATGTAGCTGGTACCTGTAAGCCTTGGCTCACCGGTGTCTGCAGACATCACAGCTATACAGTCATGTCACTGTTTCAAACTCTGACAGATTGACCATGCTCTTGCAGTGGTGGTGCTTTTCAAAGAATCTCATTTTCCAAAATCCATGTAATTTCTGAAGTGCCATCTTCTTACAAATCCTTAAAGGGAGGGTGCCAGGGGGATGGGAACAGTCTTTTCTCAGTGTCACCGTCCCCTGCAGGCTGTGCCGTGTCCCCCCTTACCCTTTCCAATCAGACATTATAAAGGGTCAGTTTTTGGGCCGCTGCATTACCGGCCGGCTTCACGAGCAGTTTATTTTACCGGACTTGAGGCTGCTTTGCTTCGAAGGGGGGAATGCCTTTGGCCTGGGAGGAATGAAACTTTTTAAGACTGATATTTAGTTTTCAGAAAGCTTCACTGGAAAGTGATGGAGTGGGGTTACAGCTGAGAAACTTTTCGAGAAGCACTTGCTTTACGTGTACTTCTTCCTTTCGAATAAATCACCAAAGTTGCACTGAGGCATGTGTGTAAGGCATAGCCACCATCAGAGCTTCCAGTAAGCTGTAAAAGCGGGATGGTTGCTCTCTGATGTGGCTTCTGGGGACCTGTGACAGCTTATCTCTACCAAAGCAAGTGGCAGAACTTCCCGTCACCACCTGGTTGCAGTGACGGACACATCCAAGACTGCAGGGCAGTGACGTAGAGAGGACAGGGACTGTCCACCTGCAGACCCCGATAGGTGGTTGACCTGTCGCAGTGTCCGGAAGACGCCGTGCTACACCGTGGCTGTAAGATGAAGCTCAGGAGGAAACGGAGGAGCGCAGAGTGGGACAGCAAACGCTCTCCCTGGTTCTCTGGGCTCTGAGCGCTTTGGTGCTGGGCGATGCCTCTCATTTGGCCGTGAGAAATTGCAGGAGGAGTCATGAGTGCTGTTCTGGTGACAGCCCTGTCGTGGAGATGTCCCTGTCGCACCACCACTGGGTCCAGCGAGACCCTTCCAAGCATCACTAGCTGAAGCTCTGGCCAGCCCATCACGTAGTTCTGCCCTTTCCACGGTATCCCACCACGCTGCACTTTTCCCCCTCCTCTCTATTGCACCTCCTCTCTGGAGCACCCACCACCAGCGCTGGCGGGGACGGGGTTGGGCGCGTTGGGGCCAGGCATGGCTCGGCTGACCCTGAGAGGAGGGAATTGCTGCAGCAGGAGCTGGGGGAGCTGGCGTCTGCCCCGGGAGCTGCCCGCGCTCAGTGGCGGTGGTCGTGGAGGGGCTGCAGATGAGAGGAACAGGCAGGAGGTTGTGGTCAGAGCTGAAACTCCAGCTTAGAAGCAGGGAGGTTTAGTGGGGATTTTGAATTGGGGGGAATTCCTCCAAGATCCACCTTGGCAGAGAGGAGTCATCGCTGAGCCTGGACCGGTGCCATTCGTGCCTGCGTGTGTCCCCGCTCCACCCTGGCGTGTTGGGGCAGGCTCTGGGGCTGGTCGCACCCGTGGTGCGAGTTACACCTTCCGTGTCACACCCCAGGACAGCGGCACGGGGTCTCCTGCCAGTCCCCGAACGGCTGCGGACACTTCCCTGCAGGTGGGGAGCGAGAGCAGTCAGGCTTTTTTTTTTGCCAGTGAGAGATACTGGAAAAGACTTGTCGAACTGATTTCTTCCGCTGTTTCCAATGAAAAGCGCTCTGGCGTCTGTCTGTGTCGCACCCCCTGGTTGAGCTCCATCATTAAACACTCGGCACCGAGGAGGTATCCCCAGTGTCAGTATGTTCACCAGTCCTCTAGCGGTGGCACGCACATTTGCATTAAACATCTATGAGATCCCAAAGAGATTTGCTGTTACTGTAAAGAGATTTTCCACACCAGCCTTGGTCCAGTGCTCAGTGGGAATTTCAGACCTTTCTTTTCCCCTCTAGTCCTGGCAAAATGCAAAAATCAAATCAGAAAAAAAAAACAGCTTTATAGTTTTCTGCCGAGTCCTGTTTAGCCTCTGAGAACAGGTTTGGGATGAAAGAGCTCAGAAATGTCTCCTGCCCTCCCAGCCTGGTCCCGGGGCCGTGGCATCGCTTCTCCCCACGGGCTCTCCCGGCTCCGGGGGCTCCCTGGCTCTTTGCTGTGTTCGAGTCCCCCCTCAGCCCCTCCGCACCTGATGCCCAGTTTTTAAAAACCCTGGGGACATTACGGAGAAATCGTCAACGTTAATAGTGTGCTGGGCAGAGGGGGCGCAGCGTCCCCGCTGTCCCCTCTGAGCCCTAGGGCTCGTCCCGCCGCGCCGTGACCTCACACACCCCGGGACAGCGGCACGGGGTCTCCTGCCAGTCCCCGAACGGCTGCGGACACTTCCCTGCAGGTGGGGAGCGAGAGCAGTCAGGCTTTTTTTTTTTTGCCAGTGAGAGATACTGGAAAAGACTTGTCGAACTGATTTCTTCCGCTGTTTCCAATGAAAAGCGCTCTGGCGTCTGTCTGTGTCGCACCCCCTGGTTGAGCTCCATCATTAAACACTCGGCACCGAGGAGGTATCCCCAGTGTCAGTATGTTCACCAGTCCTCTAGCGGTGGCACGCACATTTGCATTAAACATCTATGAGATCCCAAAGAGATTTGCTGTTACTGTAAAGAGATTTTCCACACCAGCCTTGGTCCAGTGCTCAGTGGGAATTTCAGACCTTTCTTTTCCCCTCTAGTCCTGGCAAAATGCAAAAATCAAATCAGAAAAAAAAAACAGCTTTATAGTTTTCTGCCGAGTCCTGTTTAGCCTCTGAGAACAGGTTTGGGATGAAAGAGCTCAGAAATGTCTCCTGCCCTCCCAGCCTGGTCCCGGGGCCGTGGCATCGCTTCTCCCCACGGGCTCTCCCGGCTCCGGGGGCTCCCTGGCTCTTTGCTGTGTTCGAGTCCCCCCTCAGCCCCTCCGCACCTGATGCCCAGTTTTTAAAAACCCTGGGGACATTACGGAGAAATCGTCAACGTTAATAGTGTGCTGGGCAGAGGGGGCGCAGCGTCCCCGCTGTCCCCTCTGAGCCCTAGGGCTCGTCCCGCCGCGCCGTGACCTCACCTTGTCTTTGTCTCTCTGCAGATTTTGACAGAGCTGAAGTCGGACAACCAAAGGCTGAAGGACGAGAACGGAGCCCTCATTCGTGTCATCAGCAAGCTCTCCAAATAGGAAGCCTGAGCACAGGCAGGACGAAGAGGGGTGCCCTCCACGAGCTGCCAACCCCGCCACCAAGCCCTCCCCCC